ACTCTTGCCCCAGCGCCTGGCTGCTCTCTCTGCCTGAAGAGCTTTCCCTCCAGACACCCACACAATCCTCACTTTAACTTTTACTGTTGAATGTAACATCCTCATTGAGACTCTTCTGACCCCTCCTTTTAAAATTGTAGCCACCACCCATTTCTGATCACCCATACCTTGCTTCCCCCGCAACTCACAGAATTTATAACATTCTAACAAACTAGAATTTGGTTATTTGCTATGCCTGTTTTCTCTCTCTTCCTCCCAGTAGATTGTGTGCTCTGTGAAGATGGATTTGGTTCTCTTTAAGGAGATTGTCTCCATGCCCAGAACAGGGCCTGGAACAGGGTGGAGCCTCAGTAAAGATTTGTTGAATGAATAAAAGAATGAATGAATGACTATTAGTTAAGGTTTTCCCCTTTCTTTTTTTCTTCTTCTTTTTTTTTTTTTTTCTAAAGACGGGGTTTCACCATGTTGGTCAGACTGGTTTTGAACTCCCGACCTCAGGTGATCCACCCGCCTTGGCCTCCAAAGTGCTTGGATTACAGGCATGAGCCACCACACCCAGCCTTTCCCCTTTCTTTGAAGCTTCACTTTTATGCTAACAAAAGAGAGAGAGAGAGACAGAGAGAGAGACTAGAAAATGACTGGAGATGAGGACATCGATGAGGTTAAGTCTTGAAAATATGAGCTCTTCATTGGTCTGATCACAGTTACATGTATAAATGGAAAAAGTAGCACAGAAAATCCTAGCATACAGATCATCAAATAAAGATTTCATTTTGACTGCATTACATATTACAGCTGACTTTCTTTCCTAATTATTTTTTTTCTTATGATAACAGCATGAATACCAGCTGTGTATGCATTCTTTTAAGGTGAATTACCTAAAAAGAATCTACAAATTGAGTACTTTCATTCCCACAAGTACATAATGCATATCATGCATGAGACCAGCTAGGTGCTGAGAGCAAAGATAACCATGTGTTTCTTCCACGAGCTTCAGGAGACTTACAGACCTCTCACTGAAAGCTGGCCAGACCCTGAGCTGTCCGCATATGAGGGTTCTGCGGGTGTTACGGTTGGCCGGTTGTCTTCTAGACTACCAACCCACCCCTTACCCACGGTGCAGCAGCCAGGCCATGGCATGGAAGTGATTCTAACCCAAGGTAGTCATGGTGATTCATTAAGGGACCACACAAACCACACGAAGTGCAGACATTTTCCATGCTTGGAGAAAGAGATTTTCTTTATCTCCCAGGGTGGGAAACAAAAAATTGACCACCTTCTTGCTACCAGGAAAGAGACTAGCTTGGGGATGAAACAAACACATAGAAGAAATGAGGGAATAGGAAAAGTTGAACCATAACCCTATTTACTTTGTGAACTTCTGGATCAAACCCTGCCTGATGTCTACCCCACTTGTGGACTTCACATATAAATCCAATAAGCCAGTATAAGCTGAGGTGTCTTTTACGTGCAACAAAAGGCATCTCGAAATATCATGTTTGATCTCCCCTCTGTTTCTCACTGGTCCTGAGTGTGTCCTGGAATAACACGTGGGCTGTGCTATCAGTGTTGTGTGTGTCACAGAAGCAATTCAAAATCCTAAGCCAGTGAATTGGTCTTCATTCACTTACATCTGCTATCTCATTTCTCTGGCTTTAGTGAAAATAATCAATTGCTTTACCATTAATATCAAAAGTGTAAAAGCAACAGGGAGCTTCTCAGAACTACATCATACTTCTCAAGTTGCACTCCTGAGCTTTGCTGCTGAACACGCTTTTAAAATGACAGCATGGGACTCCCCAAGGAACATGGAGGCTGGGCTGCCTCTCCCAATGGCCTCTCCTAGCCTCGGCCTGAGACCCAAGGGCAGTGCCATCCAGGGGACAGTCAGCCCAGAAAGACAATGTGTGAAGAAACTCAATAGGCCTTTCCTTATTTATTAGATTCCAGATACATGGGACCAGGATGGAAGAATCCTAGGGCATTTGATTTACATGGGGGTCTCTGGGAGAACATATACAGAGGCGGAAAGACGTACAAGTAGGTGATGCTGCAAGAGGGAACTGCCATTTTAAAAAATATATACATCTTAAGAAGCCATTCCAGCCATATTATCATTATTAGAAAATAAAACAATCTTTCCACATAGTGCTTTTCTTTGGTGCTGTTCCGTGAGCATGGACTCTGGACCCTTCAGTCTTCTTGTCACCCTCCACTTCTATCTGCACAGAGGGAGGGCGGAGTCTATGGGGAAAGGGGCCCCGACACAGGTGGATACAGGTTCTAGCTCCTCTGAGGCTCTGCCCGCCCGACTCTGCTGGAGTCTTGAGAGCCTCTTACTTGGTTCTTAAAGTGTGGCCTGAGGAAGTTCCCTATATGCAAAGATCGGGTTTCACACATGACAAGTTCACAAAGTGACAAAGCCAGTCTGGAAACTTCAGATGAAGACAAGGGGACCAAACAAAACCCAGCCATACCACCTTCTCCATGGTTGGATTTTTATGTTTTATTTCTTGGTTCATTTCAAATGACCTGTATCATGAGAGTACAACTGAGACAGGCTGTTTCCTCTTTACACACTTCCCAGAAATGGCAGGTTTGGGGTAAACTTGAGCTCTGTTCCACTGGGGGGAGGGTCCCCTAACCTCTCCTCACTTCACCACCTCCCACTACGTCAGTCCTCTTCCTTCCCTAAAGAGGGTCTTCATCTGACCAGGCTTCCAGCTAAGAAGTTGGCTCCTAAACTTCTTTTCTGAGCATCCAATGGATCCCTTCAGTACCAGGAACTTTCCCATTGGATGGAGTTCCATTGTTATGAATACGTTTCCCGTTGTGATGTGAGTTTTAAGTGTAAAAGCAGCTTCCACCTCATGGACGCCAACTATCAGGACTTCCGCCCCACTGTGCTAGAGGCGCAGCTGCCGGGTGCACAGAACGCCCACCCGCTCCAAGCCAGATGTTGCACGCTGAGCCAGAGATGCTTTCCCTAGGAAAGACGGGCAGCAGATGCCACCTGGGTCCTCCAGCTTGAGCAGGAAGTGAGAGAGCAGGGTGCCACCACTGCCCCGCTGCAAGGACACAGCACAGTGAGGCTAAGGGAGCCCCATGGAGCACACCCCAAGGTCTCGACTGTGAAGGTTTCCCCAGAGCAGGCTCTCAGGGCACAGGCTCTAAACACTGTGCTAGACTCGGTCTGCAGCTGGTGTTCCTTGACACTGAGGGGCCTTCGCCCCGAATGTGCGCCTCCATCCAGATCGGGGAAGAGGGGCTGCATGGAGGGCGACGGATGCAGCATCCTGGGTGATGGCGCAATGCACACTCCTCAAGTGACTCAGACCTGATTTCCCATAGGCAAGGGGAGTAGGGTGGACATGTCCCTGCTCTGGGAGGGCTCTTGAAATCCTTAACATTTTCTATATGGGACACCATCAGAGAGCTGCTCTGCAGTTTGTGGATTTCGGCCAGCTCTCCCTCCTGTCTGGACGTCCTCAGCAGGTCATCAACACGAGGTTCCCAGGGTAGAGCCAGGGAGGCGGGACCAGGGTTTCAATGGAAAAGCTGCAGAAAGGCACCTGGCCTCCTGGTGTCCCAGTGCTGGGTGAGATCGGCCTGCCTCTCTCGATGAGGCAGGTTGGACTAGAAGGTCGTGGATGGGGATCCCCGCGGGGTTGCTCTGACCCCTGCTTGCGCAGGCAGCTGATTAGAAGGGGCATTTTCCATCCTGGCTTGATACTCTTTTGTCCTTGGGAGATCCTCTAAGCTGCCCTTACCAACCTGCGAGCACAGATGGGTGTTCAGGGCTGCCCCTTGAGTCAGTGAAAACCTTCGTGGCCATCCACAGAAACAGGGTGACCCATTGTCCCCATGTGCCTGGGGCTGAGGAGTTCCTGGGACAAAGGAACATCCTGGGCAAACTGGGATGGTTGGTCACCCGGCACAGCAGTCAGGGGGACTGCAGGGGTCCTGCCAGAGAGCTGGTGTGCACACAGTGCCCAGGGGAGCTACACCAAGCCTCTGGTTGTGCAAGGGTGGCGGGAGGCCACCCTCCTGTGGCACTGGCATGCCAGCCCTGCGGCATGATGCGGAGTGCAGAGAAGGGAAGCCAGGGAGGATGAGGCTGGCCGCCCCGCTGAGCTCCCTCCCTTCGGGGCCCCTCCGCCCACTTCTCTCAGCTGCTGGGCCTTTCTGTGCTTGGCGAAGATTGGTTTGGGCCTTTGCCCATGCTGCCCTGATCCTCCCCCTAGGGTGCTCTCGGATGCAGCCAGGCTCCTGAGCTTTTCATGGGCCCAGCTGGCCTACACCTGCCCTTCAGGAACAGGGGGAAGGCAGGAAGCGGGAAAGGGTTCTGGGGAGAATGGTGCGGCCCCCGCTCTTCTCTGTGCCAGCACGTTCCTGTCTACAGGCCCTGGAGTCACTGTGGCTGGCTGAACCCACTGGGTGAGTGAGCTCTGAGGTAGGGTCAGGAAGTAGCGGAGGACTCCTGGGGGAGAAGAGGAGGAGGACAGGTGGGCACTGGCGTGGTGGGTGACAGGCAGGGGGCAGGCCCCGAGGGGGTGGGGTGCCCAGGAAACATGTGAGCTTTAGCCGCTGCTCTCCTGTGGGTCCGCCCTGGCTGAAAGCTGAATGGGGACTGTGGGAGGTATGGGGCTCTCGAGGGGCCCCAGAGGATCTCAGCAGGCAGGGCCTCTGGAAGAAAGATGCTGTTGTCCCTTGAGTACCTGCCCTCTGCAGAAGGAAAACCTCCAGGTGGTACCCAGCCTGAGCACTGCCCACCCAGGCCATGGATGTGGGGGGGGGGGCAAGGGAGTTAGGAAATGCACATGCTGCCTCTTAGTGGTTTGGTGGAGGGGAGGGGCACTTGCTCCAGTGGTCTCCACTCCCGAAGGGAGTCAGCCCTGGCCCAGGCCTCCGCACTGCCCATGGAGAAGGAAAGACATACCAAAGAAAAAGCCAGTTACAGACGAGCCCCACGCCCCTGCCCCCCCATCCCCGTCCCCCACCCCACTGCACCCGGGAGTCTGCACACAGCCAGGAGCGAGAAACCCCTGCCTCTGGGACAGCTCAGAGCCATGATCCAGGGGTTGAAGGTGGAGGCTGGTGGCTGTGGAGGGCTCCACCTCGGTCTGTCCGTTTGTCTGTCTGCAGGTGGGCATGGTCCGTGTGCGGGGCCATCAGACCTTGGCCTCCAGCATCTCCAGGAAGAGTTTGTGCATGGGCACCTTGCCCTGCAGTTTGACGCTGTAGAAGTGCTGCACGGCCTTGGCGGCCGTCTGCCGCAGCAGGGGCAGCGTCAGCAGCAGCTTGCCCGTCCTCCGGGGCTCCTCGTGGCGCTGGCTCAGCTCGTAGTCCTGCAGCGCCTCGTGCAGCAGGTCCTGCAGCTTCTGGACAGCCTCCAGATCCTCGATGTACATGGAATCTGTAGGCACAAGGACGAGCATTAGCAGGCCTGGCTGGGAAGTGCTCACTGGCGTGGGGGCCATCTCAGGGTCCAGGAGGCAGGATGCAGGCAGGCAGGGGGCACTTCAGAACCCTCGCTTCACAGAGAGACAGTCTGAGGCTCAGAGAGGTTAACTGCCAGTCTCAGGTCACAGAAGCTAATGACAGAGCTGGGACTCAAACCCAGGGAGAGACTGCCATCTACAGAGGACATTTCTCAAGAGGTCACCAGGGGGTGGCAGCAGAGACCCTGGAGCCAGACTGTTGGAATCTTGTGTCCCCTACTTGCAGGCTGTGTGACTTTAGGCAAGTGATTAACTTCTCTGTGCCTCATTTTCCTCACTTGTAAAATGACACAATAGCCATACCTACCTCAGAGGCTTAAAGAAGTTAAGCAGGTCAAGGGTTTATAACAGAACTTGTCACAAGTCAGTGCCCTGGTAGCGGTATCACCCCCACCACCGCCCCTGGCCCCTACACTACTATTACCTTGACAACCACTGCAAATGCCTGCCAGGCACCAGCTCCCCAAGTCTTCAGTGCAACTGCTAACCTGACAAAATTCTGATTATAGGACACAGAATACAGGCACAGATACAGGGGCTAAGCTCCATATCAGGGTGCCCCGTGGTGGCAGCATGGGGCACGGTGATGGAGAGAGCTCTAAAATTGGGGTGTTGGGAGTTCTCTAAAATCTTGGGGAAGGTTTTGAACTTAGGCCATGAACTAGGGGTTCAAACAAAATGTACCTAAATCCCAGCATGGCAGGGAGGCACCTGCTGACAGCCACGTTACAGCTGGGCCTGTCCTGGCTGTAAAGCACGGGGATGCGGACGCACAGGGTGGTGGTGAGGGTGACTGAAGCAGCACATTACCCAGAGCTTGGTCAGCACCTAATCAATGTCAGGTCATGTTATCACTCCTGTGGGGACTCAGCTGGGGGTGAGTGCCCTTGCAGGGCTGGGTCTTCACTGGCCCCACACCTAAGCCTCTTCCACACTTTCCTGCTCCCTGCTACCAAGGCAGTGAGCCCTCCTTCGTCATCGGGTAGGAGATGAAGCATGGCCCCATTCCTACACCTAACATGGCTGGGCCCTGCCATCTGGCTCCTAACTCCTGCCAGCTCCCTCTCCCCACCCTCTCCATCCTTCTCCCCACCCTCCCCAAGGAGGTTGGCAGCTGCCTTCGACCAAAAATGAAATAAAATAACATTGCAAGATTAATTTCTTTGCAATCCATCAGCAGGTCTGTATCGATGGCATTGATAAACTGTTAATTACAAAATCAATGGCTATGAATTTTTTTCTGCTGTCAAGGAGCTTTGGGGATGGCTGGGATGTGGGGTAAATGTCGGCCAGCAGGCTCCCAGGGGGCCGGAGGGTGGAGCCACAGTCTGCCTCTGATGTGCTTGGGCACTTCCGCCCAGCGCCAGCCCCCTGAGCCACTGAACCCACACCTGACCCATCCCGTGCACTCAGCCTCAGCAGTGGCACCTATGGCAGCCCTGGAGGCTGCCACTAGGACACCTCCATGGGGTCTCCTGGCCCCCATCCCTCTTCCAGCCAACACAATTTCCCTATTGAGCCTGGGTGATCTTTCCACCTCAAGGATGGGGCAGGTCACTCTCCCACAACCCTTCCTGGCTCCCTGCACTGACCCCATCACAATCCAGTCCCTTCACAGCCCTTGAGCTTCTGATCTGACCCCAGCCTGCTTTTTATTTATTTATTTATTTATTTGAGATGGAGTCTTGCTGTATCACCTAGGCTGTAGTACAGTGGCACGATCTCGGCTCACAGCATCCTCTGCCGCCCAGGTTCAAGCAATCCCCCTGCCTCAGCCTCCTGAGTAGCTGGGACTACAGGCACACGCCACCACGCCTGGCTAATTTTTTGTGTATTTTAGTAGAGACGGAATTTCACCATATTGGCCAGGATAGTCTTGATCTCCTGACCTCGTGATCTGCCTGCCTTGGCCTCCCAAAGTGCTGGGATTACAGGCGTGAGCCACCGCATCCAGCCCCCAGACTGCTTTTCTAGCCTCTCCGCCAGACTGGCCTGTTCTTTCCCCATTTCCTGCCTGGTGACTCCATTACAGAATTTTACCCTCCCTCTTCCCATCCTACCGAATCACCTCTTGCTTTAAGACCTCACTCAGATTCTACCTCCCCAGCCGAAAACAACGTACTCTTCCTTCCTTGAGCCTTTTACATGATCCTCTCTTATGCCAGGAATCACCGGCTCTTTCTGCCACATCCAAGTTCAGGGAGCAGGGGCTGCATCCAACTAGGTCCTCTTCCCCAGGCCACCCACTATGCCCAGCAGAGCCCAACAGAAGAAACACAATGAGCTAGGAGGGATCTGTGCCAAGCACAGTGGCCAGGGCCTGATGTGTGTAACTGCACATTCTTCGCAATGAGCTGCTGCTCTCCCTATTTCACAGATGAGGAAACCGAGGCTCAGGAAGTTCACGTGGCTGGATACTCAGCCAGTAGGTGGCAGAGGCAGGATTTGAACCCAGGTCTCACTGACCCTGAAGTACATGCTTTAAACCCACCCTGCTCCAAGTGTGGTGCACAGGCTGGCTCCCACCTGCCCTCTGGATGTTACTGGTCTCTGATAAGAAACTGAGAGTAAGCATTTAGAAACTTTATAGCAGTTTGGAAGGATGATTTCTATTTATATCTATTATATATAAAAATTTAAAAATTGGTCTCATGTTTTGTACATCTGGTTAATTTCATTTTTCTAATAATGTGCTTTTGTTGTACTTTATAAAATGATCTGTCCATAATGGATTGAATATTTTGAAACATTTAAAAATGGGTCCTTCATCACAGATACTTTGGCAAGCACTCCTTTAAATCATTACTTTGTTTTATTTATTTATTTCTGAGAAAGGCTCTCACCCTGTCACCTAGGCTGAAAAACCATTGTTTTAAAAAAAAAAAAAAACACGACTAGCCAGCATGCTTTCTGAGTATCTACTTGGTAACAACAGGGCCTCATGCTCAACTCCTCTGTGCTGGGAAGGGAGCATTCCCGCCATCAAGGCCTGTGTCCCCTCTTGGGGGTCAGCCAAGGCCTCGAACATCACAAACTCCTCCCCGACCTCCAGCTTCTCATCCTGTGCACCAGCTGCAGGATGGCTCTCTACGTGTCACTGGGGCAAGAAGTCTGGAGACCTGAAACCTCTTCCCATGTGACAAAGTGTGCACTCAGGCAACGTCTGATGCCAATCGAAGTTCCTGATGCATTCATATTGACAGACCACCGTGGGTCCTCAGGTGGGGGGGGTGTGTGTGTGTATATACATGTATGTGGGTACATATGGGGGTATGTGCATGTACATATATGTGTGTTCACATGTGCGGGTGTGTATGCATGTGTGCATGTGTTTGTATGGATACATGTGCATGTGTGTATGTGTGCAGGTCCATGTGAGATCAAGGAAAGAGCAGCTAAAAGCTGGCGTGGTGTGGTCCAGTGCCGAGGACCAAGGAAGAGTGGAGGAGGTGCTATCTCTTTCCTCGCCTCTCCCAACACAGGCAAGCTTGAGCTCTGTGTCTGGTGTAAGTGAGGAGAGCCCAGAACAGGGGACTTTGCTGTGCCTGGCTTTGTCACCTTGCTTCCTCTGCTTTCACTGCTTTTGCTCCTCCTCCACCTGTCGGAACTCCCAGGCCCTCTGCAACGACTGGTTCAAATGCTCCCCTCTGTGTAGGGGAAGCACAGGGCCGTGATGCTATTCCGTATGACACGTCATTGTACGAACATGTCATTATGCATTTGTCAAAACCTAAAGAATAATACAACACAAAGAGTAAGCCCAATGGAAACTATGGACTGTGCTCAATAACATGTCAATGTTGGGTCACTATTCGTAACACATTACTGCACTAATGCAAGATGTTAATAATAGAGGAAACTTCTGGGGAAGGAGGATATGAATGGCGTGGTTGTATGGAACTTTATGGACTATCTGCTCAATTATTCTGTAAATTGGCTGGGCACGGTGGCTCACCCCTGCAATCCCACCCAAGGTGGGTAGATCACCTAAGGTAAGGAATCTGAGACCAGCCTGATCAATGTGGTGAAACCCTGCCTCTACTAAAAATACAAAAATTAGCCAGGCATGGTGGCAGGCGCCTGTAAGTGCAGCTACTCAGGAAGCTAAGGCAGAATTACTTGAATCCAGGAGGCAAGGTTGCAGTGAGCCAAGATGGCGCCATTTCACTCCAGCCTGGGCAACAAGAGCAAAACTCTGTCTCCAAAAAAAAAGTTATTCTGTAAATCTAAAACTATGCTTTAAAAAAAAAAAACAGCATTAGCATTCTCTAACAAAGAATGCACTACAATTTTAAAATTCCATGTGTAAATAATCTCTGTGGAAGTATGCAAATTTTTACTATTATTTTGCATTCATTTATTATTAATAAAGATTTGAACTAAAAAAAATGGCATCCTTTTCTGTGTTAGCTCAGGTCCCCTGGGAGCAGAGCCTGAGACAGGGGTTTAGGTACGGACATTTATGGAGGGTATGTGTTCAGGAGAAAGGATGTGGTAAGGCAGGAAGCACAAGGATGGAGACAGCGAGGCAAAGATGGGACCTCAGCGTCAGCCTGATCCCATGCAGGGCTCTGATCTGGACTGTTGTTCTCATGTGGGTCCACCATTGCCTGGCGGTGCCAAGGGAAGGGCCACATAACCCTGTAGGCAAGGCAGTGGAGGGTAGGCCCGGCAAAGGGGTAGCTGTAAGCTGTTAGCAGCTGGGGGATGGGTGCACTAACCCAGTAAAAGGGGTCCAAGTGGGTCATCAACAGCACCCCCTGCATGTGCCATGAAGCCATGTGCTAGAGCGACCAGCAGTCCCAGTGTGCCAGGGACTGACGAGTTTCCTGGGGTGTGGGATTTTCAGCGAAAGCAGGACAGTACTGAGGGAACCAGTTGGCTACTCTGTGTGTACTGTCTGCAGCTCTCCCTTTTCCATGTGCTGATAACACTTTGTTTCCTCTAACATTAATAATAATGATAATAATTAATATTTATTGAACATTTCCTCTAGGCCATGCACGAGGCTGAGTGCTTTATCTTCAGTCGACCTTTAATACTCACAAAAGCACTTGGGGCTGAGCATGGTGGCCCACACCTGTAATCATAGCACTTTGGGAGACCAACGTGGGTGGATCACTTGAGGACAGGAGTTTGAGACCAGCCTGGGCAACACAGCAAAACCCCGTCTCTACTAAAAGTACAAAAATTAGCTGGGTGTGGTGGTGCACGCCTGTAGTCCCAGCTACTCAAAAGGCTGAGGCAGGAGAATCATTTGAACCCGGGAGGCAAATGTTGCAGTGAAGCGTGAGGCGAGATTGCATCGCTGCACTCCAACCTAGGTGACAGAGCGAGACTGCCTCAAAAGAGATTTTTTAAAAAGTGCTTGGGGCCAGGCACAGTGGCTCATGCCTGTAATTCCAACACTTTGGGAGGCCAAGATGGGCAGATCAAGAGGTCAGGAGTTCAAGACCAGCTTGGCCAATATGGTGAAACACTGTCTCTACTAAAAACACAAAGATTAGCTAGGCATGGTGCTGCATGCCTATAGTCCCAGCTACTCAGGAGGCTGAGGCAGGAGAACTGCTTGAACCCAGGAGGCGGAGGTTGCAGTGAGCCGAGATAGCACCACTGCACTCCAGCCTGGGTGACAGAGCCAGACTCTGTCTTTAAAAAAGTGCTTGGAAGAGGTGCTCAGAATATCCCTACTGAACACACAAGGACACTGAGTTGCCCAAGGTCATACTGCTAGGAAGTGTCAGAGATAGTATCTGAACTTGGCTCTACCTGATCCAGACCTGGGCAGTTAACTCTGCCACACGCCGCTCTGCAGCAGAGTTACGTGTGTGATTCCTGACCTGTACTCTCTGTAGGGCGGGGACCCTGTATTTATCCTTCTCCTGCAGCCCCCTGGCGCCCAGCACCTTTCCCTGGATAGTGTGGAAGCTCTGTGTGTGTGGATATTGGTTACGTCGAAGCTCACTCACTGGCATTACCCAATGCCTGCCTCTCCCCTCAGATAATCTAGCCAGAAGTTGGTGAAGGCAGGCGAAATGGAGTGAGGCCTCCTTTGTAACTCCAGTTTAAACCACTCAGTTGGGAAGGTTCTATCCTCCTGTGTTCAAGAGATTTGACTGAAAGATTCAAGGAGTGGGTATAAGTTCAGGTTGATTTTGGACTCAGAGGACCTTGGTTTGACCCTTAACTTTTAACTCTGACACTTTTTAACTCTGTGACCCTGGGCGATTTTCTTTGCTTTTCCCAGTCTCAGTTTCCACATCTGTAAAATGAGGTTACAACAATAAGAATTTTGCTCTTGGGTTGTTTGTAAGAATTTGATAAACTCCTAGCTAATTTAACAAGTTGACAGTGCGGCCGGGCGCGGTGGCTCAAGCCTGTAATCCCAGCACTTTGGGAGGCCGAGGCGGGTGGATCACGAGGTCAAGAGATCGAGACCATCCTGGTCAACATGGTGAAACCCCGTCTCTACTAAAAATACAAAAAATTAGCTGGGCATGGTGGCGCATGCCTGTAATCCCAGCTACTCAGGAGGCTGAGGCAGGAGAATTGCCTGAACCCAGGAGGCGGAAGTTGCGGTGAGCCGAGATCGCGCCATTGCACTCCAGCCTGGGTAACAAGAGCGAAACTCCGTCTCAAAAAAAAAAAAAAAAAAAAAACAAGTTGACAGTGAGCGTGGTGGCTCATACCTGTAGTCCCAGCACTTTGGGAGGCTGAGGTGAGAGGATTGCTTGAGCCCATGAGTTTGGGACCCGCCTGGGCAACACAGTGAGATCCCATCTCAATAAAAAATAAAAATAAGAATTAGCTGGGAGTAATGGCACACACCTGTAGTCCCAGCTACTCAGCAGGAGTTTCAGGCTGCAGTGAGCTAGGATCAAGCCACAGCGCTCCTGCCTGGGAGACAGAGCAAGATCCCATCCATAGTAAATAAAGAACTGAGTGCTGATTATGCACCAGGCATGTTGCAAGCAATACAATTATGTATAAAGAAATCCTGTCAATAGCCTTGTGGGGTAGGGACTGTTTGCTGCCCTCCTTTTACTGATGAAAAAACTGAGGCACGCAGTGAAGTCACTTGCCCAATTGGTAAATGCAGGATTTGCTCCTCAGCAATGTGGCCTCAGAACCTGTGTCCTTAACCAGTGTGCCAGTCTGGATGTCCGAGGCTTAGGAAATGATCAGCCAGTGCCAGCCTTCATCACCATCTTTTTACCTGCAGGCCACCCTTTGCACAATCTTCGGTGATAAAAAGCTTCAGTGTTTTCCTTTCACCTCTATCCACAGCAGCCAGCCCTGCCCACAGGCCCCAGAGACGGGCTCGCTAGGCCCAGGCAGACCTCCTAGAAGCTCCCCCTCCAGGCCCCACTGCCATGCTTACCGGAGTTGGCGAGGGCCAGGGCCTTGAGCGTCACAAACTCCTCCTTCTCCACCTTGAGCTTTTTGTACCTGCGCACCAGCTGCAGGATGGCCCTGTAGAGCTCCAGCAGCCCCGCGAGGCGGGAGTGCTCCTCGTCCATGATGTAGTCCTCGGCGTACACCAGTTTGTCGTCATAGGGCAGCGAGCGGTACACGATGCCCAGGATGAGGATCTCCATCCAGGCACTCTGCAGCAGGCTCATCTGGTCCCCCAGGGAGAGGTTCGAGAAGCCTGTGGGAAGAGGGAGCACAGAGGGCAGCGGCAGGTCAGGAGGGCAGGCCAGGGGCCTCCCTGGGGCTTGCTGGGGTTGGGGGGGAGTTGGAGGTCAGGGTAGGGGGTGGCTGTGTCCCTGGCACCCTAGGCCTTCCCTGTGTGGTGTGAGACTCACTGTCCTCCCCTTGGGGAATATGTCAGTCTTGGAATTCACGGAAAAGACTTGCGTTAAGAGGAGCTTAGTCAATGTTGACAGTTGTTATCATTATTATTGTTAGTTCTATGGTATTTTCCAAACTCTATAGAGGCTTTTTAATTCAATGCATTTGTAGCTAAAGGAGTGACTGAATACATACTGGAACCAGGAGGCAGTAGTGCATGCTCTCTGCCACTCTGGGGAGTTTCCAGGGCCCACTCTCTGCTCAAACCAGGGGAGGCTTTGGTGTTTGAAAATGACACCTGATTCTTGATGCAGTCTCAGCTGTGCAGAGACCCACAGGCCTGACCAGCAATGAGGACGCAGCTGTTGCAAAGCCATAGGGAAAAACCACAGTGACCACGGCCTGGGACTGATAGGAGATCCAAAGCCCCCGGGGTCTGGGGCACTTTCTCACAGGACAGCCCGTCCTCCCAGGGTCAGAGCCCCTCTGCCAGGGCCATCACTCTCTGTTTAACGATGTCCCAGCAGTCCTGTTCTGAGAACTTGGAATCATGGGAGTTACCCACTCCCTGCTATTGAGGAGGCTGATTCCACAGTGAAAATAAAGTTGGGCATGGAGAAGGCTCCAGAATTGTGACACTGTCTTGTCCAGTGAGCTGTGGGGATTGCCTGGGTTGAACCCTGACTCCCACTTACCAGCTGTAGGCTGGCCTTGTGAAAGCTGTGGAGCTTCCCCAAACCTTCACTTTCTCATCTAGGCAATGGGAGGACAGTCGGGTCTGCTTCTAAATGAGATGATTATTCCAGAACATACAAAGCATTTACTGAGCTATTATTACTAATGATGAGATGAAAGTCCTCATCTGCAAAACAATGATACTATACTGGAATTGCATTATACATGCACTTAAATTAGGCAAAGTCAATTAACATCTTGATTTATAGGAGAGTAAGCGAGAGTAGGTAAATAAGTCAGCTGATTTTCAAACATCTTAACCACCAAACATAAGGCAGTAACTTCACTGGAGGTTCAACCAGAAACTCAGTGATTGGTTCCAACACTGACATGCTAGATTTATTCAAAGAAGGAAAAGCATCCACAAAGCTGTTTGTACCGTGCACTACGGGTAACTGACATGAAGGGATTTTTTTTCAGGGGTAATTTTGCCCAGGAAGGACTTTTTACTTCATTTGCTAACTCAGACCCCATCCCTGGCTTGGAGCCTCTGTCTGAGGCGGGGTGCTGTGAACGTGAAAAGAGAAGATGCATGTAAAATGCTGGGTACCTCAGCCAGCCATGGTGGCTCACGCCTGTAATCCCAGCCACTCAGGAGAATCACTTGAACCTGGGAGGCAAAGGTTGCAGTGAGCTGAGATCATGTCACTGCACTCCAGCCTGGGTGACAGAGTGAGACTCCATCTCAAAAAAAAAAAAAAAGTGCTGGGCACTTCTCCTGGCATCATCAGCATTCAACATGCTAGGGTGCTGGTGATGGCTGTGGCTGCTGTTACTATTAATATTATTGTTGGTGTTGGCACACCATTGGCATCACTTGCTTCTCCTCTCTGGACTTGTCTGGAGGCCTGGGTGGCCCTGAGCTTCTGGACCAGCCAGCTTTTTGGCTTGTGTGGTCTATCCCATCTATCTGCTTCCTCTGTCCCAAACGCCACTTCTTCCCTGACTTCCACACAGGGCATGGCAGTTCAACCTTAGGGGGCAGTCCTGGAGCTGAAGGCCCCCAATTAGGCAGGCCACCCTTACACTGTGAGCATTCTCCAAGTTCCCAAGCCTGATCTATACAATTTGGGCCTTGGATCACCACCAGCTAATGGAATCCATGGGTAATCAACAAAAGAGGAGGAGTGATTACACCGACCGACACGGGCGAACTTTGATTGATGCACCTTCTCAAGGGAGAGGTTGTGACAGGGGGTCAGGGTGTGTGTGTGTGCATGCGCGTGTGTGCATGTGCACGTGTGTGTGTGTGGTTGTCCAGATTCCCTGCATGGGAGAGGGTGTGTGGCTGCCTGTGGTGGCCGGGGGAGCTGGGAGGTAATAAAAGATAGATAGAAATGGACATCCAATTTCCCTTATCAGGTGTCTGAGTAGGAGAGAGGCCTTGGGCAACATTAATTAACAGATACCAATCAGCCAGCACCAGAGAGTTTGTGGGGGGAGTGCTGGACAGCTCTGGGGAGGGGGTGTAAAAGCAGACAGACTGGAGGGGAGATGGAGGAGGAGGGCAGGGGTGAAATTAGCAGACAACTGAATTGGAAGGTAGCAGAGAGAGAGGATGAGGTTAAGAACTAGGCTTCTGGAAACCCAGGGGAAAAGCCCTTGTGCAGTGAATCATGTAGGTACAATCATTAGGATGTGGCTAGCATGCTCTTCTGCCCTTTGAGACATTAATCAGCAAAAACTTACTGAGCACCTACTAAGTGCCAGGCCTGCGCTAGGCCCTGGGGACAGAATGGTGTGCTCAATCCAGAACTGCTCCCCACAGTCGAGGGCTTACAGTGAAGGGGAAGACACATACCAAGGGGCACTAGTCGGCACAAGGTTACAATGTAAGAAGAGCTACAGCAAATGCAGTGCTCTGAGAGCATGCAACTGGGGAAGGTGGTCCAAACAAGAGTCTGGGGAGGTTTTGTGGAAGGGGAGCCTTGGGGGCTGAGCTCTCAAGTAGGGTGGCGAGAGCACATTTGATGAATGAGGCACATCCTCAGGTGCACCTGAATAGCTCACCCCAGCTCTGAGTTCCCAGGGTGCACAGACACTGAGCTGTTCCTTTCCCCACCCCCATGGCTGAGCACAGCAAAGAAGCTGTCAAGCTGCCATGACATTTGTCCATTTTCTCTCTCCTTTTAGCTGCCTTTACAGCTAAAGAGAGAGAGAAAATGGACAAATGTCATGGGCTTTGACTCCCAGGTGACAAGAAGATATGCCCAAAGAACTTGGTTAGACCCATTAAGATCTCTGGACTCAGGTTCAGGGTTAGCTGCCTTTGCCTATCTTGTAGGAGTCAGGGATGGTCCTGCCCTTTGGTGGTGGGAGGGAGACTGGACTTAGAAAGTTTTGTGCCATCATCGGAGGGTGTACCCGGGAGGCCTGTTCCCAGACCTCTGCGAGGCTGCTGTGAGTTCTGGACTCAGCCCTGATCGCTCTTTTCCTCCCTGAACATTTCCAAAAGGCCCCGAAAATAGCTTTGACAATCCAAATGTGTACTCCAAAGTATTGGACGGTGATACGGTGTCTTCATTTTGCGCAGGGAAGGGAGGGATAGGTATCTGATACCTTTTGACATCTGAAATGGTTCAGATCTTTTCTAATATTTATGAAAAGAAACGCCAGAAGGAAAATTGAGAAAGAAAAATGGTGAATTCTAGGAGGTTGGAGGGGAAGGGGACAGGGATAGAGGTGAGACTTCTGTATATACATTTGTTTCTAAATTTGGCTTTTGAACCCAGTCAGTGCTTAAGATGCTTAAAAATAAAAATAAGTCATAAATATAATTAAACTAAAAATAAAATAAAAGGCATGCTCCCTTCAACCTAGCAACTCTACTGCTAGAAATTTCTCCCAGTGGCCAGGCGCGGTGGCTCACGCCTGTAATCCCAGGACTTTGGGGGCCAAGGTGGAAGGATCATGTGAGCCCAGGAATGTCAGGCCAGCCTGGGCAACATGGCGAAACCCCATCTCTAGAAATAATTTAAAAATTAGTCAGACATGATGGTGCATGCTTGTGATCTCAGCTACTCGGGAGGCTAAGGC